AAGAGAGCAATCCACGGTATATCCTTGTGATAAATATTTTCAAGTGAATCCGCCAATTGTCCGTATATTTGCAATGCCACTGACTGCAGCCTTTCATTATCTTAATAGCGCCCTGTTATGAAAAGTGATTATTATAGAAAATTCTTATATGATTAACTTTACCGTGGCAACTACGTGACATCAGACATGGAGAACGATTCAATTATTGACTGGGGAAACACACGATCATCAATCATAAAAAAGCGCCTTTGGAAAGAGCTTAGAACTTTTTAATAATGGCTGTGTGTGGTAGTATTAAAAGGCATTCTATTATCGTTCTAACTAAAAGTAACTCCAAAAAGTCGTATGCCTGTTTTCACCATCAATCCGTAATTTTTAAGTGACCCTTATGAAAACAAAATTCCTGTTGTGTTACCGTAGGGGTCACTTAAAAATTAGGGATTGATGGTAAAAACGGGCAGTAGTCTCCAATAAACAAATGGTTATTAATAAAACCCATTCAAAGGGTGGCTATTATCTGTATAGGGTGATTTTTTAAAGTTTTTTAGGGTTAAAACGAAATGTCAAACCTTTAATTACATATTCGAAAGAAATCGTTATTTCGGGACTCGAAAATCGAATCGGAACAGCACGTCACAACAACTGATACGGCTTCTAATTAAACAGTGTCTCCAACGTCCCACGCATCATGACGTCACCATCGGGAAAAGTATTACAAAATATTGAGAGAGTGTGACGTAATATGACGTCTGGTTTCCGAGTAGCCCGAGTTTGGGTCGTGGTCACGGCACTCGCGGCTCACAGTATAGGGTAAGTGCGCTAGTTTTCGTCCAATTAGCGGAGTTGCCAACTTTGTGATGCGAAATGAATATCTTAAAATACCCTTACTCATATGTATCATATGTCATTTTAGTCCTTATATAGTCTACTTTACGTTAATATTTTAAGACAATAAGTAAATACCACGGGTTTTTTTATAAAAAATATTTTATGCAAAAGAGGCGATTTCACTAGTTTTCGTCCAAAAAAATCAGTTTTCGTCCTGATGTACGCTAGTTTTCGACCACTGTGTAGAAAAAAGGGTGCAGTTGAATTATTAACTTAAAACCAATTCTACAATACAGTAACTATGGATTGTGGTATATCATTTGAAAGGTAATTTTGTTAGCTTTCAAATGATATCAAAAAGATTTGAATAAGTTTCTTACCTAAATTTGGGAAAATATTGCAATAGGTCGAAGGACAATGGACGAAAACTAACCTACAGGAATAGCTAATTTTGGTTTTCGTCCACCCCAGTGCTTGCTCATGACGTCATGGACGAAAACACAACAACGTTTAAAGCTGTTTTTTGTTTTCGTCCACATCTTTTTAACGGTTTTTATGGGTTTATCACTGTTAAAAAGTGGACATAAACTAAAATGTTTAATGTAATAGCAATAAAGATCATATTGGAAGAANAAAAACGTCATGCGTACTTTCATTGGAGATCGCCGATAACACTGACCGTTAGAGGCTTTAAAAATAATTTAAAACAAGAATAATTGGCAAATACACGTTTGCATTTGTTTCTTAATTATAACAATTCACTGCTACTACTAAATGCAATAATGATACTTTACCGTATAGTTTACCTTTGCCTACTTATCTTTATAATTTGTGTAGAGTGGAAAATTCTACATAATCACCAAAGTCCAATGCTGTCTGAGTCGATTAAATCCAAACCTTGAACGTGCGATCGGCTAGCAGCTTCAGAAAATTTAATTAAATGGATAGAGTAGGCGTACTAACTGCCGGAATATTAGGAACTGTTTGAGTCAAAGTAAAAGTGAATAACTTTTTGACGGCTTGCGTGTTTACATATCGAATGCGGTGTCGAAATATTTTTGACTAGCGGCCGCCCGCGACTTCTACGCGTGGATCCCATTTTACCCCCTTCATCTATCTTACGCGGTTTAGATTTTTTCATACAAATGTTTTTTCCCGCTAACTCCCGTTCCCGTTGGAATTTCGCAATATTCTGTTGTGACTAAGCTTTAAGTTTACTAAGGTACCTGCATGCCAAATTTTAAGCGTCTAACTTACGCGGTTTAGATATTTTCATACAAATGTTTTTTCCCGCTAACTCCCGTTCCCGTGAGAATTTTGCAATATCCTGTTGTAACTAAGCTTTAAATTTACTAAGGTACCTGCATGCCAAATTACAAGCGTCTATGTTACGTGGCTTAGATTTTTTCATACAAATGTTTTTTCTCGCTAATTCCCGTTCCCGTAGGAATTTTGCAATATCCTGTTATAACTAACCTTTAAGTTTACTAAGGTACCTGCTTGCCAAATTTCAAGCGTCTAACTTAAGCGGTTTAGATTTTTCATACAAANGCTGTTTTTTGTTTTCGTCCACATCTTTTTAACGGTTTTTATGGGTTTATCACTGTTAAAAAGTGGACATAAACTAAAATGTTTAATGTAATAGCAATAAAGATCATATTGGAAGAAAAAACATTGTATTTTGTAGGTCCATTGAAGTAAAATGATTATTAAAAATATTAACTAGGTGTCAGGGTTTCCGTCCACGTGGACGAAAACCAAAATATTGCAAAATTGTTATGCTAGTATTAGTCCACTTAATTATCTAAGATTTCTATACAAAAACTTTAATAAACCCTTAAAATAGTGTTTATTATGCTAATAATTAGACATAAATGCCAAAAACATTACGTAAAGGAGCTAAAACAGTAATTAAACATACCATGAAAGTTCCCTACCGGCACGTTTTTTTTCTAACTTGACGACGTTTTCCATTCACCTGTGTGCAGCAGCAACTTCCGTAGATTTTTTTGGAGTTATTACTTGTCAAATTACATTTTCATGCAGGCAGAACTGTTACTTAGATATTATAGATTGTAACAAGTCCAAACTTGCACGGAAAGTTAGGTTTGTATTCTAATTTTCCGTATTAGTTTGTGGCAAGTCGGTCAAATGGACGAAAACAGGAGCTGGACGGAAAACCGGCGCAATTACCCTACGTCACGAAGCGGTGTGTCGCGGAGGTTCTCATAAAAGTGCCCGCTATACGCCCCACGCCTCCACACGTACGCTTTACGCCATAGCAGCTGGTCGCTCCAAAGCCAGAACAATTAATTGATAACAGACAATAACTGAAGTGCCTGATATCACGCGCTTAACTTTGTGCCGGATAGTGTGAAAGTGTTGCAATTGTGCATTCAGTGCGGTGTTTGACTTTTAACGGATTTAACATAACCACAGGTGGGTCTCTTTTTAAAGTATAACGGCAATTCAAATTACTATCTTAGGTATATTTTAATAATTACTCGTACTGTTACTCTGAACTAAGTTAAAAAGTTTCTTTTATAAGAAAGTCTTTCAGTATAATGAAAATAATACTGTCCTGAATTTCATAACGAATCAATATATCAGTTATCAACATAAGGAAACAAAATGAAATTAATTTAATACCTAAATTGGTTGTTTTTTTTATTAATAATGCTGTATTTGTATCGTTAAGTACTGCCGGTCCATAACTTTTTAAGTTAAATGCGGAAGACATTTTTGAGATCACCAAATACGTATATTATAAGTAGGTATTTGTCTGTATAATGTAACCTTGCCGGCTTATGGAACTAATAATAACACAAATAAAAAAACTCGCTCCAAGCTATAGACATAGAGGCAGAGGCATGCATAATATCAAATCGAATCAGAGTAAAAAATACAAATCTTCTCCAACTTACTGGTTTTAATCTGATCTTGAAGTATGAATAATAAATTATTTATTAGAAATACTCTACATCTATACGTAGTTATTTTTAAAATTATGCACATGCAACTTGTTTAGCAAGCAACATTTGAATTATGCAAATAAAAGATACGAGATAAAATTACAGACAAACATGATTCCCGAAGAAAGCGAAAATAACTGCATGAGTCACCTTGGGGAAATCTTGACGATTGACATGATTCACAATCATAATGTTGTTCGTCTTGGGCCAGTTTTGAGAAAAACGTATAGCCGTGCACTATTCTCGTGATGATTGTTTTTTTAACAAACAATATCCTCATCCTTAGTCATTATATTTCGCTGTCTAGACTTCCCCAAATAATAACTATCTATACTATATAATATAGAATAGAGGTCTGAGGAAACTGCAAGCAAAAACATATTATGAACGCATCAACTTACACGTAACCGTAGGTTGGCTTCATTCACAACTGCAGCTAAGGTCATTTCAAGTATTACAAAACCTGTTCATTCAACAATTACTATGTCTTTGTTCATATTTCATATCATTTACTTCATTTATTACATTGTTAACTAACAAGTCGGTTTATAGAAAACTAATTCATGACATTAAACAGACTTGAAGGAAAAGACTTGACCAAAATTAATCTTATTTACAATCATAACTATGTAAATCAAACTGGCCATGTAATCTTCAAGTGTCACTACGCAATAATAAGGAAATGTAATAACGATATATACCTTTAACCAGCATGAAAATCGCTTTGGTGTTTATCTATGAGATGCGAGGATAAGACTAAGATACCATTGTTGGATACAAGGGTAATTTCCCATGATAACTTTAATTTTCCTGCTACGCTTTTAGTAGTACTCGCACGCTTTTCTTATGTTTCAGTAAACAAACGTATTTTTCAGGGATTTGGCAACGCTTTCAGTGAAACAAGAGTGTTTGTTTTTCTATGATTTAGGCATTCGGTTGAATCATTAAGTATAGCTCTAATGTAATACTGTGTACAATAAAATTCTACTATGGTATTATTTTGTTACATATTTTCACATTGTAGAGGATTGAAGCCCAATTTGAAGACATTTAATTTGTTAGCTATTTTCAATTGGCTTTCTTTAATTTTTCTTTTCCATACTATCCCGTTATCAGCACACATTTAAGCCGGATGGAAGAAACTTTTGGCAATATTGTTAACCACTCAAAATTAAACAAATTTAGCGTTTTACTAGCAAAATGACGACATTGTCCGGCCCGGTAGGCGGCTCGCACGCGGCCCCCGATGGAAAGTTCGCCTTGAGCGCCGCGCAGCCCGCCGGATGCGGTGTCCGTTTCGTCTGTTTCACGCAATGCAAGCACATGCTCGTATTACTTACCTACTTTTGTTAAATTGTTATGTTTGGCAAACATCTTCACTTAATATTAAAAACATTTACCTAAACTTTGGACTATAACCCTCTTCTACTGACCGAGCACATTTTTCTATCGCAATTATTAAGTTATTATTGACTCGACATAAAAAACGAACATCTCGATATAAGACCGCGGACTTAGCACCTTTACCGGTCATTCTCATTGTAACGATTCGCCAGTTTTTGCTCGCAATGTGACTCATTGTATCACAAAAACCACTACTAATTTTATACGCTTATATTTTATCTGAAATCGACGTCGGTTACACCATCCAAGAGCAATTTATCTAAGCCACTTGCTTTAAAACGTTGTGAATCTAATTTTATATCTTAAAAGGTTATTAATATTTGCTTTGCTAGACTGAGGACCATGACTTCATGATGACTCACTCCATAGCTTAACGAATGCAGTAATTATAATGTAACACTTCAAAACAATGTTCACCTACGTGACGTCTTTGATAACGCTGTAATCATACAACAATACTAGAACGAATCAGTGTAGAGTTCTATCCGTGATAAGTTAAATGTTACGCATTACTTTAACATTATATTTAACAAAGTAAACCTTATCGAACTATTGCAATTTGACGTCAGAAACATACCAAACGCGTAGGCAATTTTGTGCTGCTGTCAGTATAATAAATAGGTAGGTAGGTACTTTATTCTGGTGGTATCTTCGATGCCCTTACTTGCTCTACTCGCAAGGGAAAGTGAGGCCTCGATATGGTCGTCATTATGTATATGGCGCCATTGATATTCCTGGCAGAAGCCGAAAGTATAGTGCGTTCTTGTCATGAGTATTTTTTTACGAACAGTGTAACAGTTATTATAAACTTGGATCTGAATTAAACTTACAAGTGTAGATATTTGGGTACATTTAAGAATAGACTTATACTAAAGTACTTGAAAATATACTTGAGTTTGAATCGAGATTTTAGTTACGGCCAGTTTGCTTTAGTTTCTGTAGAAAAAACATTCACTAACCTCAAAGTCAGCGTTCCCAAGGTAGCGATTAATTTTAGTTCTGCTCTCGTAACCTAATATTTCTTAATATACATATTTGTATTATCATCACTGTAGCAGATGAACGCAGTAACCTTCTACACATTCATTTATTCCTGAAAAAGTAAGCTTTCATATCTGCGAGATCTTGTAGAGTTTACCAATAGAATCTAGAATATTACTACTTGGTTCATTTTCCAACTGATATAATATGTTTTGTTGTAATTGCAAGTATAAGGTAAATGCTAACAATATGTATTTACCTTCTATACCTACAGTTCTACTACAGTACACGTGTACCTATATTAAAACTTGAGTCGTATCGCGTTGCATTTCAGAAGTGCATTGCCTGTGCATTTATATTATTATTGTAACGCATTACCAGTTACGTTACATAGCATTTTATGCTATTGTTACTGAAATATTTTATTGATATATTTGGGTACACGAAGGCACTATGTATATTTATTCTGCAAGCTGATGGACGTGACTTTGAATTATAAAGTAGATATTGTGTATCCTCGGCTTTGCATTTACGTGTTTGAATGTTAATTATGTTCATCATTCTTACTTATTTCAAGCAAGATTTACATAGCGAAGCACGTTTAGTAGGCGTTACACGCATCTCTTGCGTCCTTTAGCTTCTGTACTTAACTTAGTACATACGCAAAGCATTTGTTATTCAATTTATTTGTTGTCCAATATGAATGCCTTGAAAAATTTGTTCAGTCACAGATAAAATGTTAATGACCTTCCGTGTAAATAAGTTCCTTATTGGTTGTAGACAATGTCTGGTAACAATTTACATTGCGATTTGAGTCCACAAAAGAAAAAAAATGTTTGCTCATTCTTCATTCAATATTATAGATAGTGCGTTAAGCTTTATATTCTCATTTTCATTGGGATAAATTGCAGGTTTCGCAAGGTTGCGAGCCATCAAGTCATCCGAGTCACGGATGCAACCTAGACATACTTCTGATACCAGTTACAATTCGACTATTAACTTTAATCGATGTCGCGAAACGAGTCGCATCAAACAATTGAGTCAATAATAATTTCCTTCATAGCTTTTCATTCACAACATATTGTAGATTCAGATGTTCTTTATGAACATGTGTGAACAAGAAGGTTACTTGAAGTTGACACGCTGAATAAATATCAAAATAATAGCTAGAACCTTCTGAAACTCCAACCGAGTCAAGCAGGTGAAAATAATAAAATAAGTAATATCTAATTTTTTACCTACAAAAATAATATTTTGTACGATGTAAGCTAACAATTCGAAGCCATCATGGAGTTGTTATATTTCAATTGGTTTACTATTTTTAGGCAGTGCTTAACCATTGTAAGTCAAATTATGAATTCATTTTAGTCTGTTTTGTCTCTTAATCACCCTCGGTTTCGGAGCAAGACAAAAACCTACTTGTTATACTTATTTTTAACATCCCATTCACTTGTCCTTGTGATTGAAGAGCAATATTTTAACAAGCTATTAATTTGTTGTATAGCTCAACAACCTGGTACAGTCATATTCATGAGTCATAGAAGAAAACAATAAGAAAATGCCCGCATATTATTATAGGTCGTGATTCGTGACCACCTCGGCCTTCTTGCAACACTTAGTGGTAGTATACCAGCCATAATCTCTATAAAATAACGAGCACGCGCCATATAATATTTTGTGGGAGAGCCATGCTTCGGCACGAATGGGCCGGCTCGACCGGAGTGATACCACGGCCTCACAGAAAACCGGCGTGAAGCAGCACTTGTGTTGTGTTTCGCCGAGTGAGTGAGGGTACCGGAGGCCCAACACCCCCCCCCCCCNGTCTATGTTACGTGGCTTAGATTTTTTCATACAAATGTTTTTTCTCGCTAATTCCCGTTCCCGTAGGAATTTTGCAATATCCTGTTATAACTAACCTTTAAGTTTACTAAGGTACCTGCTTGCCAAATTTCAAGCGTCTAACTTAAGCGGTTTAGATTTTTCATACAAAAGGATTTTCCCGCTAATGCCCGTTCCCGTGGGAATTCTTAAGTATCCTATAACCTGCCCAGGAGTATGAAGAATAATTGTACCAAGTTTCGTTAAAATCCGTCGAGTAGTTTTTGTTTCTATAAGGAACATACAGACAGACAGACAGACAGACAAAAATTTTACTGATTGCATTTTTGGCATCAGTATCGATCACTAATCACCCCCTGATAGTTATTTTGAAAATATATTTCATGTACAGAATTGATCTCTCTACAGATTTATTATAAGTATAGATTAAAACATCTTTACACGTATGTCCTACTTATTCGGCGTAATAAACTGCTTTCAGTTGTGTTAATTAACGGTTTATATCAGTGCATTTGATGTAAATGTCGAGCTTTCATTTGTGAATGACAGCGGTACTTGTTCACGCACGGTGCGCGCGCGCCGGCTCCACAATCCCTTGCAATTTGCCGCCAGCCATTGTGCGCGGGAACGGTGCGTAAACACACAATGCCCTTTACATCTTCTCATTGTTTTCTCTCTGCACGATACATGCAATCGTTACGACACGATTAATAATCTTTCTTTTGTTTTGTTACAGGTAAGGCACCATCTGACTTGACAAAAGATACTGTAGGATGCAACCAGATGCATTAACCGAGTTGCAGTTTGATAAGTATTGCAAAGCTAGTTAGAATTCATTTCTAATAGACAATAACAGGAAGCCCTCATCCTCCCTTGCACAGACTCGTGAGATTTTATAATTGACTAGCTTTTCCCGTGGCATGATGCGTGTAGAATGATGCTTTTTGATTTATAACGCTTCCTTAATTCAATAGGTTGCAGTAGGATTCAGAGAAAAATCAGTCGATTAGTTTTCGCATAGGTGATTTTTTTTCCAAAAAGATAGGTGGATACGAAAATGTAGAGCGATTAGAAAAATAATATTGAAGTTTATTATTTATTTTATTTTATTCTTTTTGTATTTTTCACGGTTTTGTATACAGTAAAACTATTCTATTATTGTTTTATACATAGTTACTAAGACATTGTGAGCGCTCTATATTGAGACCGTGAATATAAGCACGATAATCAAAATGTACGTAAACATCTACACGTAGCCAAATTGCGTTGGCTTTCAATCGATACAGCAATAGCAGCATTAAATGATTCGTTTTTTTTTAAGAAACAGAACCGAGTCTCATAAATTCACAATGAATCAAATGATTACGTAAAAAAAGCTTTTCTTAGTCTTAGACAACAACTGACTTAAAAAGATGCACTTACTAAGAACAGTTAAAATGCTTACAAAATGCTAATAACTATAACTATTTATATTCTCTAGTTAGCATTCTAGTTTTCATATTTGTGGCCTACACTACATACCTACAAGCCAAGTAAAACATATTTTGCCCCAGTGCAGTGACACGTTTTACTATTCCAAACTTAAGCATTTCAACGCTGTAAAAAAACCGTATCTAAAAGAAAAACACATAAGCGGCGCATTAAAACAAACAGTATTGGAATTTACGATTTGTTATTGAAATATTGAGCCAAAAACGATTGAGCTTGAAAATAGTCGACTTTTCCCGAGTTGATGGTTCAGTGAACTTCGCGGTCACCGCCGGCCGTGGACACACTTTGGCGAACATTGTCACTTGCACCAGAAATATCTTTACCCGCACCACCCATAGACTATAGACGATTCGAGTCTTCCAAGGAATAGTAGGTATTTAACCTAATTTTTCTAAATATAAAAACCGGAAACGTATTCGTATTTGCATATTTATTCTATCTTTCCCCGCGGCGCATCCAGACACATCACGTCCGCATGAATTTTGTTTTGACACAGATTAAAAAATATCGTGCATCGATGCCTGTCTGTTGATAATATTCAGAGGAAAAGTGTGTTAATACCGTTATTTTGAAATAATTGAAAGAATATTGTTGGAATCAAACATAAGTATTAT